CAATCCCAAATATAAATATACTTAAAGTTATGTTAACTATTTGCTATAACTGTACTTATGATGAAGATTATTAATACCATCACGATTACGATCCTTACGCAAAAGAAATCTCTCAAACCTGACTACTGTTTTCTATTGCAATAGATCATTTATCTTTTTCGTCTGCTCGTCTTTGGAATGATTTTCCACAAGCTATTAGGGAGACGGCGTCAATTGGTAGGAGGATAGTCAGATGCTATTTTCACTCGAGCTCCTGTGAGTGCTGTTCCGGCGAGCTCTGAATTATGGGAGCTTAAATGTGCTGGAGGACGGAGCGGTGAAAACAGTTCTGCGTTTAGTTTGTATTCTTAATATTTTGTTTACTGTTAAGATATTTTATGGTTTCACTCTAATCTTATGTTAATTTTATGCAAAGCGTTGAGCCATTAAGCGCTCTATAACACATTATTATTATTATCATTATTATTATTATTATTATTATTATTATTATTATTATTATTATTATTATTATTATTATTATTATTGAATATTAGTGAGCAGTAGGCCTAGCAGTTAAAATTGTATTAGCAACAGTTACAGCAGAAGCAGCTAGCAACAATAGCAGTCAGAGTACAGATAGCAATCGGAGTAGCAACAACAAACATGGCTGTAATAACATTAAAGGTGACCTGTTAAGCTTGGTTTCCATACAATCGCTAAAAGTTTTCGCCGATAGCTTTCGGTGATGCTGATTGGTCGGTCGAATCACAGAGATCCTTCCCGAATTCGATCAGAGACTGCTACGCTGTACAGTGATTGCTCTGGAAACACTGTAGCGATTTTAAGGAAACCAGGCTTCCGTGTTATTGACGGCTCGCGCTAAAATAACTCAACTTCTTGCCAATTAAGAAAAAAAAATGTAACCTTCACCAGAATGTCTAAAGCTCACCTGTTTCGTACGCTTGGACATAGCACACGACAACACTCACAACCAAAAGAACAACAAATGACACCTTCATGTTTCTAAAACATAAATAAATATAAATATAAACAAAACATAATATATATTTATATAGGCCTATTTATTTGCGACACTTCACCTTTGAAACGGCGGCACTCACAAAATGTGGTGCGGTCAAACTGATAAATACAACAAGTAACAAGAAAAGTATATAAAAATGTATCATCGTTTGTAACAAAACATTGTCAGATTATAGACCTTATGTTTATATATGTACAGATGTTATATCCTTGTAAGGTATTCTGTTCATCTAATCACCCAATCATGATCACCTCCATAACTTATGGTCAGTGGTGGCGCCAGTGGGGAGAGCTGCCGGGGAGAAAAACCACAATTCGTCGGAGAGAAAAAAAAACAGTATAGGCCTATTCTAAGAGCCAGGTAAAATTAATTCCTCTTTCAGGATCATAAATAATTTTATCTACCAACTGTAATGGTATTCGATAAAATTCTGCGCCGATTTTATAAACATTAAAATCCCGAAACACCTTAGCAAATGCGCTTTCTATCGCACCAAACAAAATTAAAACAATACTGTATTGTCATCACAAAGTGAACGATACAGATGTTACTTTCCACATCGAATTAGATTAAATCAAATTCTAAGAGCCAGTTAAAAATTAATTCCTCACCTTAAAATCACGAAACACCTTAGTAAATGCGCTTCTCTATCGCACCAAAAAAAAAAAATATTCATGTATTAAAAAAAAATATCAAGACTTACCTAGCGTGGAGTTGGGTACCAAGGTAAAATTATGAAGATTGGATCTGGTTGGATACTTAAAATGAACTGGAAACATTGGTTGACTACCCGATATTTTATACTCCAAAAGTAATCAATTATTCATGTACAATTATCATTTGGTTGTGTTAATATTCCCGCGAGTGGACGTCCATTCACGGGTTTTATAAACACTCATTTCTGAGTTAAATTGTTTTGAGCCACTAGGGTCATTGTTAGAAAATGAATTATTAAAATAATTTCATAACAGCTACCTTAATTAAGGTAGTCTTGATATCGCATGGCACTCTTTGGTGTAACAACCGTAACAAACCCATTAGAGATGTTAA